GAATCGAAGAAGAGGTGATTTGAGAAAAAGAAAATTATAAAAATTATGTTATAAAATTATATTTCCCAAAAGAAAACAATAATAATAGTATGACGACACCCCCCTCAATATTCGTAATAATATTAAAAAGGCCCCGACCGATCAACCGTCGGGGCATCGACACGGCGATCCGTCCGCGATCCTAAAAATCCCGTCAAACAACGGACGCAGCAAAACAGAGATCCCGCGGCTTCACGTGCGCGCTGCGTGGACAAACACGCACACGATTAGCGCCGCCGGCCCCGCTATCGACCGCACCACCGAACATCCTCGCGAAATTCCCGAACGCGTTCAGCGAATTATCGCGAGGATTCAGGCAAGGACATCCCCCGGAACTACCCCGACCCGAGTTCGGCCGACCCGTACCCGACGACTCCCGACCGACGGCCGGCTCGGGTATATTAGGCAACTCCGATAGATAATCGAGACCTATCTCCGGCGAGACAGTAGAAAGTCCAGTACTGCTCTCGATACTCCCAGTCATCTCCAAAAGCGATCTAGAATGCTATCTATCATGCCAGGAGCTTCTGGCCGATCACTCCTTTCATCCACAAGCGCACAAGCTGTTCACAGATTGAGGAGTTTCTCAATCTGGGCTCCGAAAAGTAAGCCCTTGTGCACACCTTCCACCGCTGACGATCGAGAAGCAGGGAGCTTCCTGCATTCTAAAAACCATAGCATGAATCCCTGACAAATCGTACGCGCAACGAAAAACAGCTAATCCGTCACAACAAGCCGGCCGAAAATCCCGCGCACCGTCACGCCCGCGCCGCGCCTACCGTGAACGCGCCGAATTCGCGGAACCGACCGCGAGCCGAGCGATTATACGATACACAGAAACCGCGCCTCTTTTCACCGTATCAACGGCGAAATTCAGAAAGATACTTGTAAATATTGTACAAAACCTCAGTCAGTCAGTCAGAACTGTAAATATAGACTTAGATATATATAAAATAAAGAGGCTCACGACATTTTATTTCTCTTACCAATCCTGACCATATCCGACCGACGCTATCCTGCGAAACCCGATCTACACGGAATAGAGACGTTTTAATAGTAATAAAATAAAATTATATCACAAGACGAAAGAAAATGAGTTCTCGCTTTATTATTAATTATCTTAATAATAAAAGTTATAATATAAAAAGAATATATATATATATATATATACATATATATATATAAAAATGATAAAAGTTATATATCTTAATTTTAAAATCGCGCATGCGTTAACCTAAGGTACCGCTTGACTGCATCTTATCGGATGAACGTCCGCAAGTTTTAATTTTCTGCGGACGTTATACGGGATTGAAATGAGCGCAATTTGTTGCGTTTCCATCAACTCAAATCTGGTTCTACATCGTATTAGGCTGATATTATATTTGTCGTGCGACAAATTTTTCAAGCGTCTTGATTGATTGCAGGATAGAAAGTTTCTAGAGATTCGAAAATTTCTTTATTCTGTAGCCAATCAATACATCTGAAAAATTTGTCGTACGACGCATGTAATAGCACCCTTAGAAGCGAATTAAGCATCGATGGAAAGACCATTGAAAGCCAAGAAAGATAGAATGATACTTGTGTCATTAAATGAAAAGCACCCATAAACATAGTGGGTCTGTTCTTTTTACCTGAACTAATTCAGAATTTATTCCAGTGTAAGAAAGAAAGATAAACTGTGAAGTACAACCAGTCAGCCAAAAAGAACAGGCCTAGTATAGATAGACCGAGCATGCTATTAGTGATGGGCGATATAATATCGATATTAGCATATCAATATTTTTTATCTTGAATATCGATATTTTGTATCAATATCTCATTCAATGATATTTCTATATATTGATACTTAGGGTTTGTTTTTTATTCCCGCACTAGGACTGCACTGAACTGAACTAGTGTAAGCCAGAACGACGAGTGTGAAGGCTATATCAGACTAGCGGTTGTCCGGCTATGGTTGCCGGTTGACGATTCTACTATTACCAATCACATTGACCATAACCAGGCCTACTACATTGTGATTGGCTGAAATAGAATCGTCAATCGGCAATCGTAATCGCGCAACCGCTAGTCTGGTATGGTCTTAAAGCTGATGGCAAAAAAACGAGATGTAAGCGCTTACGTTTACCGTAAACGTAGACATAGATTAAGGCTTGTTCTACAATGCGTCGTGTGTCGGTATTGGATCGTGGGCGTAAGAATAAGCCAATTACAATCAAGTATTCTCCCCACATTCATCTGTAATTGGGTCATTCTTACGGCCCACGACCCATGATATCGACACACGACGCATTGTAGAACAGGCCTTCGGCTTGTATGTCTACGTTTACGGTAAACGTAAGCGCTTACGTCTCATTCTTTGCCATCAGCCTAAGCGTGCAGGTAGAGATCCTAACAGCACATGATATCATTCGAATATTCTACACTCGTTCTGAAAGTATTGTGATTATATGTACTATTGCCTAATACTAGAGAACATATGACATTTCATATGACATTTTGATGGTATATCATTTCTCGTATATTCTTCTAAGCTCATCTTCAGAATATACTGAATATATCCTGTCAGCACATGATACAAATATTCTGTATTTATACTGAATGTACTGTGATCGAATATATTAAGATTATTTGTAAAATCTATGTATCCCAAGTAACAAGATGACGACGTCATTATGACGATGATTTAAGGTCATTTTTTGCTAGTGTACTAAAAAACGACGTAAAATAAACGTAACATTTGTCATGAAATATTATCATAAATATATTGTCATTTAATTGTCATTTTTAAATCATTTTTAATGAATAAATAACATTATGAAATAACATTATTAATTGAAATAACATAATTAAACTATCTTTCTTAATTAACTATAATATATAAATAAAAAAAATATTTCTTATATTTAATACAATTATTGACAAATTCATAAATAAAATATGTTTAACAATTTATAAACAATTTTCATAATAAAAATGATTCTCATTAAACACAATATAAGTTCACGCATCTACATATGTAATTAAATTATCCACAAGAATTATATATGCAATCGAGATTTTAAAATTGAGACTATTTATGACTATTTTATGATAATATAACATTCATTAACTGGATTTATCATATTTTATGTCAAAATTCCGTGTTCACTTATATTATTTCAGTTGCAGGTTTCATCCCATTATAGAAGTTAAGCAGCATCGAGCAGGATCCCAAGTAGGATGAGTGATCGTTTTAAAAACGTGCAATGATACAAGATAAAAAATGTGTCATTACTTTTCACTCTCTCATTTTTTTTATTTTTTTCACTTATTTTTCGTAAGAGATGTCATGTATATTATAGATTTTCACGATCTATATGGCTGTCTGGAACTCTTATGCATGCCCTACATGACATATTGTTTTTAAATCATTTTCATCCTATGGCCATACTGCGGGATATTCTCCAGTATATACTAAGGATTAGGTTAGAAAGCGATCTAAGTTCACATTCCACAGTATATCGCAGTACGTATTTCGAATGTTCAGAGAATATCTCGAATATACTTGAATGATATCCCGTGGAATGTTCTTAGAATAGACGAGTGCTATTAGGGATATATAGATGCGTGAACTTATATTGTGTTTAATGAGAATTATTTTTATTATGAAAATTATTTATAAATTGTTGAATATATTTTGTTTATTTGTTTATGAATTTGTCAATAATTGTATTAAATATGGGAAATGTTTTTTCTTATTTATACATTACAATTAATTAAAAAAGATAATAATTAACAATGTTATTTCATTATTTATTTTTTAAAAATGATGATTAAATGACGATATATTTATAACAATAATATTTTGTAACAAATGTTATGTTATTATTTATTTTACGTTATTATTTAGTACACTGACGTCGAATGACGAAAAATAATCTTAAATTATCATAATGATGTCATCTTGGGATACAACAAATGATATATTCTACACAGATAGATGACATACTATTATGATGATATATATATATATATATATATATATATATATAGGCTGTGTTCGGGGAGCGCGCTAACACTATCACATTATTTCATTTTTATTGTTCATTTATTTGAAAAATAAGAATGCTGCAATAGTTCTAATAGCGTGCTCCCCGGACACAGCCATAATATATCAGTTACTGAGCAACTGTAGCGTTGTGCTACTGCTGTTCACGGAGCTCGTCATCACTATCACGCTATTGGTTCCACGAACAGTCTTTGGTAGCGTTTGCGTTGGTAGTACGATAGTGAGCTCCCTAAATGCTCCCTGTATTTATACTGTGGGAAAAAGAATCGGGATGGCTGCTTTCAGGTTCCTCTTTGGTAACATGCGACAGTGCGACACCGCGTGGTTTTATAAAAAAAGGTCGCCTATTCGCGAACCGCGGGAATTCGTTTCTAAATTTCTGTCTCAGTTTCTAAATTTCTATCTCAGTTTTGAAAGATATCTATTAGATTCGGAAAAAATTAACGGAGACCAACTGGATTTGAACTCGGGATCCCTCGTCTACCAATCCAACACTTAGTCTGCACGACCACGACGGTTCCTCTCTGTTAGCTGTTTATATTCCGAATCTCTTTCATGACCGCTTACGGTTGTCTAATTCTTAGTTTTAAATTTCTGTCCGCGATTAAAATTATAACGCGATAGCAGAAACGTAATATATTATAATAACGGAGAAAATAAAGATTTACAAGAATAATGAGTGTTACTGCAAATTTTTCGCATACCCCTACCAGTCCTCTTCGTGGGTTCCAATTCTTCAGACGGACCGAATCCCGAATTTTTTCCTTAGGTCTGTTCTTTTTGGTTGAACTGATTCACAGTTTATTTTTCTTTCTTACACTGGAAGAAGAAAGATAAATTCTGCAACCAATTCAGCTAAAAAGAACAAATCCCTTGTTGCGATCGAGAAATACAAGATGAATAAAGACAAGGATAAGATGACAAGGATGAATAAGCTTTTATTTTTCACCGCGACAGTACGTCGCTACCGTCAACGTGGAGTTTTCAGTTGAGTTCTCGAGAACCTTAAAAACTTTTTTTTTTTCTTTTAATCTCTATCATATTAAATATTGTATTATATGTAGTCTCTTAAATTATTTTGTAAAAAGGTAATTATACTGATATACCATGCAATGACTAACAAATTTATCAAACCATAAATTATAATATAATTGAGTACATTAAGCTTTAAATATATATTAAATAGTAATTAAAAAAAACATCAGATCATTTAAGCCTGCTACTTTTTGCCAGGTTTCACGTTTTTTCGAGGCGGCGCTCCCCATCTCAATGCACTGCTATCGACTGTAAGACGTGGTCTTTTATATTGACTGCTTTTTATGTGTTCTTCCACTAATTTAGGTGTGACGCAAATAACATGTTGTCCTTTCCAATATTTAACCATATTCATACTTTGTAATGTTGATATAATATCAGTTTGCGAGATGCTGGTCATTTGACTATAGATTTATATTATTTTTATATATTTTGTAACTAAAATATATATTATTATATATAATATGATCGAAATATATTTTACCTAAGATCTTTAATACTAAGAGTTCCTCTAAAGTCTCGAAGAATTTCCAATAAAATCCAACTCCAGTAGCTACGATAAGATAGTTTTCCTAGATCACTTAAAGGTTTTTCTGGACTTCCAACCATTTGTTCAATTCTACTTAATTCATAACTAAAAGCTATCAGCAATTTACCATATCCTTGCCTTTGAAAAGGTGGTAAAGTTAAAATACATGCAACATTATTGCCATCAGGTGATTCTTTTTCCTGAAAATGAAAAAAAATTACATGTAAGATTTGAAAACAGCATAAAATGATTTCAAAGTAACTAATGCAAATAATTAAGGATATAGATCTTTTTACTCTAACTCTTACCCATTTTTCAGATAAAATAAAAAAATAATACAAAAATTTTATAATCAGTCAAGAAGCACTTTTTTACTATACACAGTTAAGCATATATTATATATATTTAAAAATAATTTCAAATACTTAAAAATAATATAACAAATCTAAATAATTTTAAAATCTAACAATTTTGTAACTTTATATTGTACAAGAATGGAGTATAATGGCAATGAGAGCACAGTGCAGTATTAAGAGTGCGTAAAATTTAATAGTAATCAATGTAATATAATCAAAATAACATAAAGCGGACGTTTCGGCTGATCTTTCAGGAGACCAACTGCTCGATTACACGGTCGAAAGTTTCCTAACACAATTACTGTAACTGTTCTTGAAGATGCACCGTATTTTGAGAAACGACCGACGTTTTGAATTTCAATGTTTGCTGCTACATTGATTATGAATTTGCGATTCGTCCGTCTAAGTAGATTTATTTGTATTTTCTATTCTCTTGCGCTGAAGAAGGCTGAAAGATCAGCCGAAACGTCTGCTTTATGTTATTTTGATTATGTTACATTGATTACTATTAAATTTTACGCGCTCTTAGTACTACGCTGTGCTCTCATTGCCATTATATCTCATTCTTATATTCTTTTATTGGGAGACTTATCTTATATTCAGTTTATATTGTACCTTTGAAAAATAGCCAACTAAATGTGCACCGTGTTTATCTACTTCGCATAAAATATAAAAGAGAAACGGTTCTACATCAAAATAAAGCGTTTTGTGGTCCAAAAACAATTTAGCTAATAAACAAAGATTCTGACAATAAATTTTGTATTCTCTGCCATCTACTTCCCAAATACTTAATGTTCCTTTTCTATAAATTTCTTTCCCAACTGGCTGTCTATGAGTACATTCACTCTGAAACAAATATATATTATACTTATAATACAAACTTTTATTCAAAATCAAATAATTTAATAAATAATTTAATAAATATATATAAAAATAAAAATAAATGTAAATAATTCTTTAACTTTACCATATGATATCTATAAGTTTTCTCGAGACGCATATATTTCAAGCAATATTCACAGATCCAGAGTTTTGGTTGTTTGCCATATTCTTCTGGATATGGACTAAAATACCAAGTATCAATCTCATATTTACCTACATAGGAAAAAAAAAATTGTAAGATTCTTTTTTTATTGTTTATGGATTACACGCGCGCAGACACGCATGCACGCACACGCATGCGCGCACAATTTTTTTTGTGTATATACATATATACATACATATAAAATAAATTTGCCTAACAACTTACCTATCTGTATTCTATCTATATACTTTACTTTTGTTATAGCTTCATGTTCCTTTTCCAGTGCAGCTGTAGTAGGATCCATTTCTGCATAAGTCTGAAATAATAAAATGCTAATGTATATATATGTATATATATATATATATATATATATGTGTGTGTGTGTGTGTGTGTGTGTGTGTGTACATGCACGCATGCGTGCGTGTGTATGCGTGTGTATTAAATGGAAACAAAACAGAAATAATTTTTGTGTATATATTTATGTACATACATATATATGCATATGTATTAATATATTTTATATACAAATGTACACAAATTATATATGACTCTATAATACATACTTTTATCTTATGGCAATACAGATATAATTACCTTTTGTATGTGATTAATCTCATCATGACGTCTTTTCTGATTTCTAGTGATTTTACGATCAGAAGAATCTGCTAACAAATCAGTTCCAGTATTCCTATCATGCCGCTCTATTTCACTCATATCAAATCTGCTGGACATGATTCTATCACGAGGTACCCATTCATCCAATCTTCTGTTATGTCCATCATAATGAACATAGTATTCATAATGACTTTCATTTTCATTGTAACGTGTTTGAATAATTTCTGCAGGATCTATGTAATATGAAAATTACTGATATCAAATAAACAATTCTATTACTTTTATTCAAAAAAAATATTGTCTAATAAAGTAAATATTAACAAAGACAATTAATGATATTAATTTTTATTATAGCAATATTTCATGACAATGCAAGAAATTAAATATTACAATATTACTTTAATACTTTAAAAATCACAATGGTACAATACTAAAGGAACATTAATATAGAGAAATTAAAATATATCTTAAACTTGTGATAAAGCCATTAACAATTATCTGTGATTTGGCTTTTGGAGTTTGAAAATAATTAGATTATATAATAAAGTTTTACATACGCCAGGAATCGTCTGTTCTACGAACAAGGTAGTGTTCGCCTATATCAAGCGGCAACTCCTCAAAGCTATCCGCATCATCACCAGAGCCTTTTCCACCATTGGTCAATGTATTATCACGCTTTTCTTGTTTCATGATTGTCTCTTTGGACAATGCCGTGTTAAAACCGTCTTTACTTCTCTGTTCGGATTCAGCCATTTTCAGATCGTAATTTACATACCACGATAATCACATTAGGCAAAAGCGAATCATCCAAAAAGAATGTTGTGTTCACTCATCACTGCTGAATCCGCTGATGCAATAACAAAATTACATAAATCACGCAAGCATTCAGAAAATACAACAGTTGTGTATCATTGAGTACAAGCCTTCTTTTTCTTTTTCCTTTGTAATGACCGTGGCTTTCTTACAATGTCAACGCAGATCACAATTTATACGCAAAAGTAAACAGACAAAAATATAGTTGAGCAGTAATCGAAAATATGTGATGAGCAATAACAGAAAATGCGTGATGTGACGTAATACAAAAATTATAATATATACGAAACATCCAACAATCCGAGAAGGCTCAAAACATACTAAGAGAAATGAAAGCTCTATATATAAGCAACAACAAAATAGAGACACTCAGAGACTAACTCTGATCCATCAGAGACTCTGATCCGCCATGTTTTGGCTAAATCCTACGAGAAAGAAAGAAATATACACCATCTCATTCTAATCAATAGCGATATTTTTTATTACTAATCAATAGCGATATTATTTTTTTACTTTGCATGTGCATTGATTCAAGTGTATCGTGCATATGTATTAAACACGTGGAAAGCGTGATAATATATTATTAAATAATAGAGATACTAAAATTGCAAAATATAGTTATAAATTAATTAATTGTGATAAATCAATATAAAAAATGGGTGGATGTTCATTTTTTTACTTAAATTTTATTTTATAATATTATTTTAGAATATTTTATAATATTATAATAAAATTTGTTTATAATAATAATAATAAATATGTTTAATAATTCTTTCTAAAAAAAAGCATGACATCAATACTTGCATCTTTCAAAATTTTTTCGAAGTTTATTGTTGATGTTTTTCCGCGATGAGTTTTCTCGCTGCGCTAACTTTGTGAATAACTGTCATTGTATTAATTTCACAGAGGCTCGTTTTGATAATTGTATCAAAAAGTTAAAAATATTATAGTGTAACAGTAGTATAATAATATTATATTAATTTTTGCTCTTGTGTTGAAAAAGATAAATAGCGAAAAAAATAAATAAATAAATTTAAAATCGTTAAAATCAAAGGATATATATTAATAAATTGGTAATAAATTATGTAAAATAAAGTTTTGTAAATATACACATTTTATTACCTTTAAAATACTTATATTTTTAAATTATAATATTATAATTTAAGATTGTAATGTGTTCAAGAATGTAGGTAATATATTTGAAAATAAGTGGAAATAGCCAAAAGATGGCAGACCAATCAAAAGTTGCTTTTTCATGGCCAGTCTCTGATTATAGTGTCTCTACTTTATTACGATAGCCGACAACACAATACGCATGCGCCCGACATGCGATTTCGTCATACGACGTATTGTAGTGTCGATATCGTGGATCGTAGACCGTAAGAATGAGCCAATTACAATCAAGTATTCTCCCCATATTCGTCTGTAATTGATCCATTCATACGGCCCGCGATCCACGACATCGACACACGACGCATTGTAGAACAGGCATAAGACTTGTTGTATAATACGTCGCATGTCGGTGTCGCAAGCCATAAGCCACAAGAATTGACCAATTACAGACGAATGTGGGAAGAATACTTGATTGTGATTGGCCCATTCTTATGGTCTACAACCCACATCGACACACGACGCAGTAGAATAGGTCTTATGTCTTGTTCTCTGCTATCAGCCTTAATTTTTTACAGTGTCGAGCAGTATAAGAGGCTTTACACAATGCGAGGAAATAACGATAGGAAGGAAGCGATAAGAATAATATAGAAATAAGCGATGACCTCGCATTGCACAATGCCGTGAAAGAAATAAAAGCCAACTAATCAAATCGCGTGTGAAGAGTTTATTCTTTCGTCTGCCTAAGTGTCGGTCCACAATAGGTAATTTAAACTTTAAGAAGTAAGAAATTGACCTATCATAATTAAATATGAGAAAAATAATCGACTATGATTGGTCGATTTCTTACGGCTTAAAGATTAAATACTTATTAGTGTCGGTCCACAATAAGTATTTAATCTTTAAGCCGTAAGAAATTGACTAATCATAGTCGAGTATTCTTTTCATATTCGATTATAATTGGTCAATTTCTTACTTCTTAAAGCTTAAATCACCTATTGTGAACTGACATTTATGGACTGAGACTTAGGTAAAACATAACCTAAAAACGTCAAAAGGACCAAGTTTACTAAATAATTTACAATATTATATCAAAATCGTCTTATTTTCGACTAACTTTTTCAGCAAGTTTTTGTTGACAAATTTTAATAAGTTTTATAATATTTGAACTGGAATATTACAGAAAAATTTTTGAAACGTATTCATATATATTATTCTACATATTATATTTTCACGCAAATTATATTTAGGTAAGGATGGAAGATGATTTGATATATTATGTACAATGCAAATAGCTGTACTAACATCATTGCCATCAAATGTGTTTTATGTATCGGACAATAATTCATTGTCCGGAAAGTTATTGCAATAAGAATGTTCCATTTTTTGTTAATCCAACAAGTTTTGAAATTATCCTCTATATACTCCATAAAAGAGTTATGGCTGCTAATATTCACTACCAGGACGCAATCTATAACTTAAACAAAAAAATCAATAAAAATTTACTTAAATTTATTTCAGTATGTATCGATAATTCTTCAAAAAAATGCATTGACGATAATGGATGATAATGAAAAAAATGCGCTTATGTTTATGC